TCTATCTCAAATTTTGCTATAGCCATCCCGAAATTAATAACTCTGATATCAATTTGTTATGAATCAAAACCACAAGTAAAATAATAATAAAACGAAATAGAAAAATAGAATACAAGAGATTTACGTGGTTCAGCTCAATAAACAAGTTTACATCCACAAACGAAACATAACGACAAGATTTCACTATTCAAAAGTTGTAGATTACAGCAACCGTTCTCGATAAACAAAAACAACAATACGAGAACGTCACAACTCTATCACATTATTATAATATTCCCTAACAAAAAAATCCTCTCTCCACCAAGATTAATTTTTTTGGAAAGGATCTGGAAGAAGATAGAGTGAAATCCCAATTTTATTACCCTTGATGTCATCGTTTATTTTTTTTATAGTGAAAATTGGGTTTGAGTCCACCTTAAGGGATTTATAATGAGTTTAGTCTGTTAATAAAATTTATTTGAGAAAAAATCCGTTTTTAATCTTACTAATAACTAGTTAAGTCCAATATTTTTTTTAAACTCCAAAATATCCTTTCTTAAAGGTAATTTTAAATTAGTTTCTTAACTTGAGAAATATTATCCCTTAATTCACTATAAATGAAAATATGCCAATAATATTTTTTACATAAATTTGAAATTCAAATTCAAAGAACAACTGAAACTCTCTCTCTTTCTCTCTCTCTTTATATATATATATATATATTAATTTTACCATGTTACTATTCATGTTATTATTTTTGTAAACATGTTACTATTGTTATTTATTTATTTTTGAATATTATTATTTTTTTGTTTATATATATATATATATGAGAGAGAAAAATAAATAGTCATATTCTATCTATGGATATAGATATATAAGAGAGAGAGAATTTTAATATTAGTCAAACTTTTAAAATTTAGGAGTTGTTAGTTTTCAAAATTGTTTTAATTAAACATAACAATTAGGGGTATTTTAGACAATAGAGATGAAAATGGACAAAGGGGGACCAGCCTCCAAATTTCTTTTCCTTTTTTTACCGAGTTATTAGAGAAGACCGAATTAAACACTTTGATAATGGTACTGGAAAAGACAAATTCCATCCAACTTGGGTATTACTTCTTCAAAGTAAAAACCACCATTAAAAGTCCATCACCTGTAGGACTTTCTCAACTTATTCCAAGTAGGCTCAAATTAGTATTTTAAGTCAATAATCTTCCATGTGAAAAAGATGTCCAAGAGTTTGTGTAAAAGACAAACTCAAATTAATACTCCATATAATATTTGTGATACAAGTCATTTATTAACAAAAATTAAAAAGAATAATTTTTGTACTACGTACCTGGTAAATGAGGAAAATAGTTACCTCAAGTCTAGAAGCTACTGAGTATGAAAACTACTGTATAATTAAGTAGGTAATTATTATTAAACACAACCCATACCATTAAACAAATAAAAAAATAAAAAGTTCAATTTTAAAACCAAAAATTCCAAAATCATCATGCTTCATAAACTACTACAATGGAAAAAATATGAGAATTTTTAGCAAGTTCAAGACTAAAATTGAAATATGGGATCAAAGGAGTGCCTACTAGTCCATAGCCAGTCACACAACTCCAGTTCACTAATTTTTATATTTTGCTTCATCTTTACTTTCCACCTATGTACATACAGAGAAATAGTATTAAAAAAATAATTTTTTTTTTGTTTTTTTTTAAACATTTTTTTTGGGGGAGGGAAAGGGGGAAGGAGGACTTGAACCCTTAACCTCAATAAGGCAAAACCTTTACAGAAAAAAAAAACAAATTCACCACACACTTTGTATGTAAGACGAAGGTTTATCAAAATAGTATGACAAAACTATACAATCCATAGTTTGTATTCCAAAAAATTGTAAATATATATAAATTAAAAATAAAAAAAATTACATATAGAAGCCGAGCCAAACCTTTCCAAAAATGAAGATTGAGTAAGGAAGGAGGCGGTCCGAGAACAGCAGAGCCTCCAAAGAGAGCTCACCAAGTTAAAACAACTAAAATATAAACTCATCGTCTTTTAACAAGAAAGACTACTACTCAAGATTATGCTAGCATTATACGACCACAAAAGGTATCAAAATCCGAGTCTCATGTCCATTTTCTCCAAGCTGGATGATTATAAAAGAAGCTATTAAAATATCACATCACATACACAATAATTGAAATAAATTGACATACCCTTTAAAACCATCTGAGTAAATATTTCAGAGTTGGTAAAGGAATAAAATTCTTCCTCAAAAAGTTGGGTGGAAAAAAAAATTTCGTGATCAATTAAAACAGTTAGATAAATAATAATCTTAAAGTAATCTCAGCCACAAAAATTAAAGACATACAATGTTAGCTCACCGTTAGATGAATAATCTTAAAAGAATCTCAATCTCAAAAAAATTAAGACATAATGCTAACTTGCTTATTATTTAAATTGTAGAAGAGTGGTTTGATTTCATTACAACGATAATACCATGTCATCTGAACCACATAGTATCACAAACTAATACGAATACATTATGTAGAATAAGTGGATCCCACTACTTTAAGGTGTAGTTAGTCAACAAAGTGGTTATTGAAAGCTACTAAATTGAAATTTTTGGTATGGTTTAGAGGCGAAATAGGTAAGTAACTCTTAACTATTTTCGGGTCAGTAGGCGGTGTTGCCCTACTCGACCAGCCTAGCTAGAAAAATAATATTGCACTTAATTCTTTCTACCCAAAGGGATATCGGGTTGTCCATTAACCTAGCTAAGGTTCAACGGGCCATTGAGATTAGTGGGCCAATAACCATTTTCTACATTGACAATTTCAAAAATTTGTGCATACTCTGAATATAGTATGATGAGATTTGGGAATGTATGCCTTCATCATCTGGTTTACGATCTCTCTCTCTCTCTCTCTCTCTCTCTCTTCAAATTGTGATGGGTTGAATTCACATTGTATTGAATGCATATAAGTAATTTGAAGTGATTGTTATTGAATGACATTTGGTTGATTTTCTATGGAATGGAAATAATATGAATGAATAATGAGATCACCCCAAGCGATGGATTGAGATGTGCCAAGGTCAAAAGGTTGTATAAATGGGTTTCTACCAAAGGGAGTTGAAATAAGTGGATGCTTGGATAGGGTAGGGGCCTACTACGAGGTAAGGACCCACTTGTACACAGTGGGTCTAACTTAAATGCATTGTACATGATTCCCAAAAAAAAAAAAAAAAAAAATTAAAGAAAAAATATAGTAAAAGTGATCGCAATCTAAGGAGAATANCTGAGTAAATATTTCAGAGTTGGTAAAGGAATAAAATTCTTCCTCAAAAAGTTGGGTGGAAAAAAAAATTTCGTGATCAATTAAAACAGTTAGATAAATAATAATCTTAAAGTAATCTCAGCCACAAAAATTAAAGACATACAATGTTAGCTCACCGTTAGATGAATAATCTTAAAAGAATCTCAATCTCAAAAAAATTAAGACATAATGCTAACTTGCTTATTATTTAAATTGTAGAAGAGTGGTTTGATTTCATTACAACGATAATACCATGTCNGTGAGTAAATATTTCAGAGTTGGTAAAGGAATAAAATTCTTCCTCAAAAAGTTGGGTGGAAAAAAAAATTTCGTAATCAATTAAAACAGTTAGATAAATAATAATCTTAAAGTAATCTCAGCCACAAAAATTAAAGACATACAATGTTAGCTCACCGTCAGATGAATAATCTTAAAAGAATCTCAATCGCAAAAAATTTAAGACAAATAATGCTAACTTGTTTATTATTTAAATTGTAGAAGAGTGGTTTGATTTCATTACAACGATAATACCATGTCATCTGAACCACATAGTATCACAAACTAATACGAATACATTATGTAGAATAAGTGGATCCCACTACTTTAAGGTGTAGTTAGTCAACAAAGTGGTTATTGAAAGCTACTAAATTGAAATTTTTGGTATGGTTTAGAGGCGAAATAGGTAAGTAACTCTTAACTATTTTCGGGTCAGTAGGCGGTGTTGCCCTACTCGACCAGCCTAGCTAGAAAAATAATATTGCACTTAATTCTTTCTACCCAAAGGGATATCGGGTTGTCCATTAACCTAGCTAAGGTTCAACGGGCCATTGAGATTAGTGGGCCAATAACCATTTTCTACATTGACAATTTCAAAAATTTGTGCATACTCTGAATATAGTATGATGAGATTTGGGAATGTATGCCTTCATCATCTGGTTTACGATCTCTCTCTCTCTCTCTCTCTCTCTCTCTTCAAATTGTGATGGGTTGAATTCACATTGTATTGAATGCATATAAGTAATTTGAAGTGATTGTTATTGAATGACATTTGGTTGATTTTCTATGGAATGGAAATAATATGAATGAATAATGAGATCACCCCAAGCGATGGATTGAGATGTGCCAAGGTCAAAAGGTTGTATAAATGGGTTTCTACCAAAGGGAGTTGAAATAAGTGGATGCTTGGATAGGGTAGGGGCCTACTACGAGGTAAGGACCCACTTGTACACAGTGGGTCTAACTTAAATGCATTGTACATGATTCCCAAAAAAAAAAAAAAAAAAAAATAAAAGAAAAAATATAGTAAAAGTGATCGCAATCTAAGGAGAATATTTGTAAAGGTGAGGGTTGGGAAGAATATTTGTAGTAGGTGAGGTGGTTTAGTCAGTAGATAGAGACAAAGTGGGAGAAAGAAGACGTTAAGGGTATTATAGTTATTTTACTCTTATCATTTATAATATTAATAATTCATATTAATCAAAAAGCACATTAAGATTGGCTAGTCAAATTAACCAATCTCTCAATTATATGATCCACGTGATAGTATTATGTGATACCCTTTGTTACTTTCATTGTTTATATTTTTTTTCAATCTTAATGTCATTTTCTACTTCACATACAAAATACAACACAAATATTAATTTCATTCAAAGGAATATTACTTGATATAGCAAACGTCGACAATGATAAAATATTACATTATTACAAATAAACCGTAACGAACACGAAAATGAAAATAAAATGATAATTTGAAATAATTATTGATGGAGGGAGGACTACTTCTTCTAGCAATGGGGTAGATCTGGGGGAGGCGGAGGTAGGGTAGACGACGGTGTTCCCCCATTCTCCACAACGAAGGCGGTGGCGAGTCCCCATGGCAAGTGCACGTCCAAGTGACAGTGCATAAGCCAAACACCTGCAATGACCAAAAGTTTCAAAAACAAAAATTAATATGAGCATGACATAGTTCGAATTTTGTAATCGACAATGTTGATTGAATGTTCACCTGGATTGTTAGCCTGAAATCTAACAACTGCCCACCCTCCAACCGGGACAGCGATAGTGTTGCGTTGTTGTGGATTGACAAGATTAAACTTTTTCCGATCGTTGACGGTATCAAAGTTGCCAAATCCTTGAGCCAACACATGGAAGTTGAATCCATGCAAGTGTATAGGGTGGTTTTCTACACCAATCAAAGCTGTGTTCTGCATCACCATCTCAACCGTTGAATTGAACTTGACTTTCTTCACTTTGGTTGACTTTGTTGTCATCACAAGGGACTGATTGAAGCTGTTATTTGCATTAGTGTAGTCAAATACCAATGGTGGTTGGTTAGGGAAATCAGTGGTGTAGATTCCATCAACGTTATTGAAAAAAGCTTGTAACATTGACAACTTGGTGGGGAACTGGAAAGATGCATTGTTCATGCTCGCAGCCAATCTTTGCCCAAATGGGCCTGCACAAGTGGCATTTGCTCCACATGCTGCCAGGCCTAGGCCCACAGTGATAAACATGATAAGAATTGATGCAGAACGTGATTAATTAAGTTAGCAGAATTATGTTGATTTAGTCTTTAACTGTTAACTAGAAAGTAGGAGAGGAGTTGCAGAAGACTTAGTCTGTAGTAGTTGCTTTTATTTAGGAATTAGTTGCTACTTTATAGGCATTGTGGTTATGGTTTTAGGTTATAAATAAAGGGTGTAATCAGCCTTTAATGATATGAGAATTGCAGAGTATTTCTTCCATTTTGAATTGATAAAGCTGTAGCTTTTTTCTTCTCTCTGTTTTTTACTCTGTATTCAAACTCTTGGTGCCTTTGTCTCTCTTATTTCCAACAGCTTGTGGTATCAGAGCCCAGGTCTGATCCAATTGGGCTTATTTTTGTACCGCTTTCGAGATCAAGTGCAGTAGCAATAACAGGACATCTCTTGTGCAGCTGAGGTGTTTGTGAAAAGGCTTCAAAGAGGAAGAATCATGAATTCTCTCAATGTATCACAAAACCAGTCTTTAGTGCCAATTTTCAATGGAGAGAACTACGAGTTCTGGAGCATTAAGATGAAGACTTTTTTCATCTCACAAGACCTATGGGAGCTTGTTGAATCTGGCTATGTAGATACAGCAGCTGAGGTGAGGGAGCTTCGTAAGAAGGATGCGAAGGCCCTGCTTGTTTTACAACAAGCTGTGACGGAGGCTATTTTTCCCCGTCTTGCAAATGCTGCCAAATCGAAGGATGCATGGGAAATTTTGAGGCAGGAGTTCCATGGAGATAGCAAGGTAAC